TTTTGTTAATGGAAATCTTGGAGTTTGGATTTTGAAGAAGCAGCAGGGACATGTCCAAAGGAAAATAAAACCACCTCTTGCCATTTTATATGGGGGTTTTTAACATTCACTTTTTAATACTGCTGTCTGCACCTACTGCACTACTGGCTGCAGATTAAAGCAGAGTCAGAAAAAGACAGAGACTGTACTTATGCTTTTGTCTTCATATCCTATTTTATCATCCCATTCATGCTGGCTCTTCCCTATTCCATTACTTCCTGCCCACCAAAACTTCTGCAGCCAGCCTCTCCCTTTGCTCTAGATAGTGGGAATGGGATTTTATTCCATTTGAACACACTTGATTCACTTTATTTTTCAGTCTTTTCAACTCCATCTCATTTCATTTCCCTTGATTTTTAAATGGTTTTAGATGTATTTTGTGATTTCCCTACTGAAGTCAATTGCAAAACTCCCACTGCTTTCAATAGAGCTGAAATTTCACCCATTATCTTTTATTTCTGGACATAAAATGTATGGAGCCTGTTTTTTTTCCTGAACAAACTTCAGTGCTGTATTTAACTATACTGCAGCAGAAGCATCTTGGCACTGGAAATAGGGGTCTACACAGTAGCAGGGTTGTGTAAATTTATTAGTTTATATTTTTCTCAACCTCCAAAAATAAAATAAAATTTTAAAGAGTGTAATAAATATGCACAAACAGAAAACTCCAGATCTCACTCAAGTGCCTTAAGGACTCTTCAGGAATCCTAAATCATCATGCAAATGCATTTACGTCTCTCTCGCTCTCTCTATATATCTATATAATGCATACTGCACAGGGCTAGTGAGAAAGTGAAGAAGGCCTTGAAGAATTTGGCACTCACTGTTAGTACATTCACTAAATTCAGCAGATCGTGTTTGAAACATTTCAGAGATTTTTTTACAGTTACACAATGTTTGCAGTTAAACACCTGTCTAATGTTATTTTTTTAATTTACAATATTTTTTACTGCGTCTAAAAGAACCCTATAAATTTTTGTTTTCTTAAAGGCAGTTTATATTCCCCTTCCTCCCTCCCCTTCTTTCTGGAAACACAGTCTTTCCTTAAGGCAAATTCTCTCTCCCACACCTATAAAAAGCACCAGCCAAGTCTGGAGAAACACAGAAATTCCCAAGGTGTGTCACAGTCTTGGGTCCTAAATGAACTCTCCTCGGAATGAAAGCAGACTAAGGGTCTGTTCCTGCCAACGGTAACGGAGCTTGGAGAGAGACATGTCTTCTAGGTCCTCAAACTCAGTGAACCCCAACTGATTGAGGATCTCGTAGACTCCAGCCCTGGCTGCCACCTGAAAGCACAGTAAGAGGAAAGGGGAAAAAAGTCTTAATTTCTTGATTATAGAAGCTAGTTCAAGTCAGGTGCAGAAATCACTTTACAAGGATAGCATTCCAACTGCTCTTGGTATAAAAGCACCTGGGTAAACGAGTAACACTGGAAAGAATACATACAGAGAATGAAAGGAGCATATGCGTTTCTGGTAGAAAGATATGGATACCTTTTTAAGACTACTAGAGGAAAGCAGCAAATGTCTATTGCTGAAGGCTCTCACATTGCTAGGATAAGAAAAAACAGGGTTAACAGAAGAAAAAAGAACATTTCCAACTACTTGGTGCAAAAGCAGGTCTACTCCAGGGATGTGGGGCAAAATATGTCTTGCCTAGAGCATGGACAAATAAACAATTATACCTCCTTAAAGTGGGGCAGAGGAGAAGACTTACTACTTTGTGAGTGTGCATCAGTTGATCCATAGTAAACAGTAATTATTCCATCTGTCCACTCCTATCCCGCAGTAAGCGAAGCCAAACCACAATGATATACCCCCTTGAATAAAAGAGGTAGTAAAATACTAAGCTTTAGCTCCCACTAACTGGAGGATAGAACGGACAGGTGTACCAGTTACACCAGGCTCAGCTAAGCTGTTTTAAGCCCTTCCTTTTCTCAGTCTGTGTACATGTTTTGTCTGTCCACACCCCTAACTATAGTGGCCTGCCTTTACCCCCAAACAAAAATCATCAAGGGACTCTTCTCTTTAAGAAGCATTTATTTACCTATGGCCTAATCTCCAATAAAAGCCTTTTATGACATAGCAACATCAGTTAGGGGGAAAATGTCTCCCCAGATAGATATACCAGTAAAAACACTACTGTACATTCAGTTCAACAGGCATAACTGTGCTTCTATTGACATAGCTGGTGCTAGTCAGGAGAACTAGGACTGGGTATACTGTTAAGACGGCTTTGGTTCACAGAAAAGGTTTTTTTGCCAGTATAACTATAATGATAAAATCTGCCATGTGTAAACAAGGCCCCTGAAGCTGTTTACATGGCACTCAATTTCACAGAATCAAACCAACTCTCCACCTCTGATGCACTTGCAACACCCCAGTGAAACAGGGAATTCACCTGAATTCATCTAAGAAGTTAGGTAAATACTTGAGTGGTTAGCCTGGGCTGAGCTCCAAGCTGCTGCAGCTACACTGCTATCAGTACCCAAGCTACTAGGTTAAAGCGGGGGGGGGGGATGTTGTTGACATGAACAGCAGTCATTGCTGCACAGGCACATCCTAAGTGCCCTCCTCAAGGTCAGATAGGTAAAAGTCTGCAGGGAACTAAACCCCCAGGTTCCTGAGCCCTGGACAAGTCCCAGAACTGTTACACCAACTTAATGAGCTAAAGTCAGTCACAGAAATGCACTCACTAAATTGCACGTGCAAAAGCTGCATTTTTCTTCGTTACTGGGATCAATACCACCCCATCTGGGTTGTGCCTTCCCTTCTTCAGCCAGAATGCTGCAAGTCATTTTTTCCCTTTCACCTCTACACCAAAGTAGCACTACGTACAGGGAGCATGAGGTGGTCCAGCACTTTCTTAAAACACTTGTAGGAAAGTCTTAAGAGACTTAAGACTTGCACCCTGCATCCTGTCCTCTCCATTCCCATTTCTTTGTTATTTGGGTTGATCAGTCATTTCCCCCTTTCCCCATTAAAATTTAACCTTCAGCCTAGAGGACTTGAGAAAGGTTCAGAAGATACTTAACCTACCAAAAGCTTGAACTGGAGCTTGCCATACACCAACACCCCCCCCACCCCAAAACCCCCCCCAAAAAACAACCCCTCTTACTTTCCTACATCTGGTGCTTTAACATTTTATAAGCCACTTTTTAACTGTTTGTGTTAGCATTTGCAGGGGTTGTTAGCTTTGGCACAGTTCTGGAAAAGTTACAATGTTGCCTTGTTTTTGCAAAAAATGTAGTGCTTATGAAAGGCCAGAGTGCGACTGACAGGACTTCAGGCCAAAGGTTCCTTTTTATCCATAAGCCAGGCATCCATCGCCCCTGAAGTAGCCCAAGCTTCTCCTTGACCCTCCCTCTCTCCTGGATATGTAAAGTGAGCAAAGGTGGCAAGAGGATGGATTGAAATACAGTGCATTTGTTGTCCTAGCTCTGAGCATGGTAAGGATACAGCCCTTCTTACAATCAATTCATTTTCTGCATCTGAAGACTCTGAACAAAGAATGCTCCTGAGGACGGATAGTGCATGACACACTCTGCATTAGGAGAAGTTGTATACATAATCCACAGGGCCGGGAGGTAGCCGATGCATCACTCGTGGTTTGAGAACTAGATAAATATCCGGTCTTCTTTTCAATTAAAACATGCTGTATTGTTCATTTTTTTTATCCCCATGCACTCATTTTAAAGAGTCTCCAATCATGTCAACACTAGCATAGACACTAGGAACATTACAACAAAGGTACTGAGATAAAAAGAAGGTAAGCTGCTGTTCAGAGAGAACTGGAAAAGTGAAGAGAGATTGACAGGTTGACAAACCTGTACTATGGAAAAGTGCTGTGATTTTAGTGGAAGGAAAGACTCCTACAGCATGTTATTCTGCCAGGGGTCACAGCTGTCAGAACAGTTTGAAAGAAAGAAAGATCACTCGATATACAATTTGCAAAGCTCCGAAAGGGAACATTATTGAGCATTATGGCCACTGAACCTAGGTTCCTCATGGGAAAGGTGGGGTCAGTCAGAGGGAACCAGCCAGGGAGATCAAATCTAGGATGCCCTCAAGAGAATCTGTGTTCTGTGCCCATCCGTATCAGAGGCTAGGAGGTGCCCATCCATTATTTGTTTTAAAAATCTTCCTTGATCTCTAATGCTTTGCTCCAACTAGCTAACAAATAGACTCTATTTAAGCAGTTGCTGGTATCACTAGTCACAGGTTCCCCAGCAAGGAATCACAGGGGCCTAAAAACTGAATTACACCTGCACTGTGGTAAGCGGTTGGTATCAAAATGGGACAAAGCCACACCCTTGCCTAAGGGTGGGAGAACTGTGAAATTCCACCTTAGAGCACACAGGAGTCGGGGCCTGCTCCCTACAGGGGCTCAGATGGACCAGAAGTAAGGTGCAGCTGGCTCTCTAATGGCTCCTTGTAGGATTTCCTTCATAATGTGTTTCAAAAACTGAGTTCACCTTTATTAATTCAGTTAAGAAAAATAAAACCTAAAAAGTCTATGCATGCTACTGTTGCAAAGAAAACCCTCAGAATATATAAACAACGAAACCTTACCTGCCAGCTGAAAGCCTCAAAGAACTACTCTGAGAAGAGTGAGTTGCTTCTATTCATCTCAGTAGGAAGCTCATTTTGGACCCAAGTTAAGAAATATTATGTGTGACCATACCTATTTCACAGATACTAGTTTGTACTTCACTGATGGGAACAGGGGCAGCTATTGGGATAGGATACAATAGGGAAGCTATTTGTTTGCAACCTATGTTGCATGAGGGAACGAGGAATTCAGTTACCCCAGTCCCAGGTTTAAAATCACTCCCATTAATACCCAACTGGGGAGGGAAAAGCTTCCCGCTACCCCTCCAAGTCCTTCTTGCACTATCAATAGAAAAATAAAGCCATCAGCACATTGGAAATGCAGAAATGGTACAAACCAAATCAATCGCATACAAAAAACAAGAGATACAGGTTTCCCTCACCAACCACTGGGGTTAGGTTTCCGAAAGTTCCTGTGATTGGCAAGACAAAGGGCTTATGGGAAAAATGGCAGGTGGCCACAGAAAACCGTGGGTACTCAGAACTGTATGCTGAACCTCTTGATTTAGAGACCATCAGAAGCAAAAAGGAAGAAATGCAAGGGGGATTTTACTTAAATATCAGTATAAAAATTATAGATGTGACCAGTCAGGTAGAGGAGACATCCCCCATCCCTCTTAGGGATAATGAAATCATCTGCTGCAGCACATAGGAGTGGATTAAATGATCCATTATAGATCCTGCATAGGAATGCATAAGGTAGAATGTGATCTGACATTCCTAATGGAGAGGCACCGTAATCATGTCCTTTTCCTTAATAACACTATCCCTTTGGCTTTCAGAAGCATTACTACCCACAGTGCATAATCCATATTGCAGGAGGTCCTCAAGGGCCCAGCCCTGTTGCGCTAAGCACTATATACACTTTTAAGAGAGAGGCTGTCCTGACCTTAAGGAGCTTGTGATATAAAGCTTAGGCCACAGGGGGAGAGGAGGCAGCAAGAGGTAATGATGAGACCATTCTGACAGACCCCTAAAACAAGCAGCCACCCAGAGTACCCATTATGGAAGGGCCCATACAGTAAGTATGAGTCCCTCTAAAATGTCAGTTTGCCCACCATATGCTTTTAACCATGGCAGAGTAATAACATTTCTGGACTCTGTCTCTGTGCAGTCACATCAGCAGTACTGATCACCTCTCTCACTAAGGCTTGACACAATTTCTGAACCAAGAGCATCATCATTTTAGATATGAGTGTGATTTTTTTCCTCCAATATACTTCATGCTTATACAACCTCTATGCGGACATAGATGCATTGATAAAATCATGACTTATACCAGTATAGTTCACTGCCCTGCCTATGATGAGAGCAGCTTTATAGTAGTCCCGCCACACCTACATGGGAGCCAGGGTCAGAGGCAGAGGAGGTCGAGGGAAGCTTGTACTGCTTTAATTATATGGGTATGGCTTTTGTGCATAGACAAGCTCAAAGAATGTGATGTTGCTTCCACCAGCATCTTCTGAGTGGAATCCCATGCTCTGTTTGGTTAGCGAGGAAATCTGCTGTTACTAACTCCCTCTTGTCGAATCCAAGTGAGAAAACAAAGAGGGAGGGAAGGCCATGCCCTGTAATTTAATTTTGCTTAGGGCTCCAGAAGCTCTTGTGCTGTCCCTCTTTCCTTCCCTCCCCCTCCCCCTCCCCGCCTATTTGACAATGAAAACAGGGAAACAAAT